GGCCCTTGGTCGGGCCTCAGCTCCGTGTCCCAGGGAGAGGTTAAACACAAAACGGGGCTTAAAACCCCCGATCCGCTCAGATGCAGAGGCGAGCGGCCACCTGAGGGCAGACAGCGCAGATGCCGGTGCTCCCATGATGAGCACCGTTGAGCCGGGCAGCTCAGCGGACACCTTGAGCATCGGAGGGCAAAAATAACAGACTAAATAACAATGAACAAATAGCAGGCAACATAACGCAGCTTCTGCTGCCCACGTTAATCTTACGTGCATAAAAACCATCAAGCCAGCTGCAATCCAGGGCACCCCCGCACTGCCCCTTTCCAAGCGGGAAGGCTGGGAAAGCCCCTTGGGTAAATAACCCCACGGCCAGGAGCGGATCGGGGCTGCACATAAATACACAAAGGGACTAAAGACGAGCGGCTCTGCCTCTATGGGATATTCTCCTAAATCCCCTGCATGCCGGCTCCGTTTGCCAGAGCAAGGTCTCAGCAGGGCCAGGGCCCACCTGTAGTTTTTGTTGGTTACCTCGATGGCAGATTTATGGCTATTTTGTCCCCCGCTAAGCACTCACATTTCAGCAGCAGCAGAAGCGGGTCCCACACTGCTGTCCCCCTGCAGCTACACGCGGCCATCGGGCAAATGGGATCCCGGGACTAAGCACGATTAGGAGAGGACTAGGAAAACACCTTAAAATAAAATGCGGCCTCTGCCTCTGAGGGAGGCTTTTCCCCCGCGTTTCCCTCCTGGCATCCTTCTAAGATGACACCAATTAGACCCCCTGAAAAAAAAAAATGGATGGAAACAATTTGGACGAGGTCTCTATTAGATTTTCTCTCATTAGCACCGCAGGCTGTTTTTGCAGCTGTTAATTGACAGATGCCTTCCATACGCAGGGTCAAGGAAAAGAAAAAGCCCCAAACGTTATTACAGGTAATTTTAATGGGGCCCGTCTCATTGGGCACACACACAAGCATGGGAAGGGAGATGGTCACACAGAGGAGACCAAGGCACCGTCGAGCTGCTGAGATGGGGTGGACATGGGCACGACTGCGTCGCGGTGGAGAAGACCGCAGGGGAGCATGAGATGGGAGCCTGGGTGCCAGGACGAGGCGTCCCGGGGTATTTGGCCTGAAAGGGGTTATCTGGTTCCCAGTAGGGCCTGGCAGGCAAGGAACCAAACCATCAACGTAGAGTGAAGGCCACTTTGGTTTGCTGGTCACATGGACAGAGAAGGGAAGTTCTTGTGTCCCAAGTCAACAAACTCAGCCTTCTCGTTTGGAGGAAGATGGCCAAGGGCTGCAGGGAAGAGAGCCAAGGGAGAAGCCAGCATTGATTCTGGTCCGAGCCTGGCTCCCAAAGGGAATTCAGGTGCCTGGATGCACCTCCAAGTCCCCGAGGGGAACCAAGGCAAGTGAGTAGAGGAGGCAACGTGTTGCACTGACGTTTGCCCAGTGAGTTTGTACAGCGGCAGCCTCAGGAATGACCCAGTGCACACACAGCGCGCCAGGGAGGGCATCTCACTTATTCATTGTTTTAACAGCTCATTCACGAGTTGCATTCATGAATTTTTCTTTAAGAGCTACCCTGGCATCCACCCCAGACCATCCGCTTCCAAAGTCTGCTCATTACAACCTACACTTAGGAAGAGCTGAAGATGTTCCCGAGTTTCTCCGTGCAGGCGCACGCTGGAAGCGTCCGTTAAACGTGAGCAGCTCCCGGACAGCTGAGGTTGGGCTTCCTTCCTTCCCGTGACGGCAGCCCCACCGCCGGTGCCCCCCGGGCCCCCCCACACCCGCTACCGTCCTGCGGGCTCCCTGCCCCCGCGCTCGCTCCAGCCTGGCAGTGGTTACGTTCCCGGGAATGTTCCTTGGCTTTCCTTCTAGCTGAGCGGCAAAGGTCAGCGGCGGCAGGAACGGCGGGCGGGAAGTCATCGCTGGGAGAGGCACGAATCCTGCCCTGCCCAGCTCCGGTGATGCCCTCCGAGATAGGATGGGTCAGGCCGCCTTTTCTCTGGAAGACGTGAGGCTGGTACAGGAAACGCACAGTGAAACACTCCGCTTTGGTGCTAAATAGCTGCTTTCAACCCAGCCTTTGATCTTCAGAAAATTACAGGCCTGGTGATGGCTGCTGGCTCTGTTTAGCCAACGCCGGCATCGCCGCGCGCCTCCCATTTCCCCTTCAAGCTTTCGAGCTCACTTCTGAGAAGGAGACAGCTCCAACCTTCAGGGCTGGGGAGGACCCTCTGTGCACCACGGCGTGACACCAGGACGC